GTCACCTGGTAGGTTACCATAGCCTGCCACACATATAACTAGAGAAGAAATGATTAAGGGCAAAACAGTCTTTTAGTATGAAAAGAGTGTAGGAAAAAAAATTCAAAAATTAACTTAAAAGTCTTAAAATGCTAGAGTAAATTAGTGTTTTAAAACTAACTATATACATGCATACGCTGGCTACTTTCACCTTTTCCTGTAAAACTCAGGCCAACATTTTCAAGCTGTAATACCATATCGGGGTTCACCTGGTTCAAATTTAAATTTCAAATCATTAACATTAAGCTAATAAAGACAACATGGTGCAACTTCCAAATTTTTTCTTATGAAACATTTAATACCCAATAACTTTATGTTGACATTGCTATAAATATAATTGGGCAGATAATCCAAAGTAAAATGTTATAAACTTATAACTAAACAGATTTACTAATTTTTTTTGTAGTGGGGACCTACACTTAAAAGTTTAAAAAAAAAAAAAAAACTTTGCAAAGTCTATTTTACAAAATGGGTGGTCGTTTTGAGAAAAATGTTACAACACCACATTTTGTGACAATTTGGTGATTATGCCATAAAGCAACGCTTTCAAATTGTATATGTGTACCCAAGTTGTATACTTAATATTATCAGTTTAATAATAACAGATATCCATAAAACAACATTACTATCTTTCAGATACAAAAATGGTTAATATAGGATTAATAATTAGAAATTTAATGATAAACTAAGTTTTCTTAATTAAACATTGAAAACTTTTCTTAATAAATCATTAAAATATTATATTACCTTCAACTCTTCAAAAGAAAATCCACGGTCCTCCCTAAGTTTCATGTTGTACTTTGAGGTTTCACAATGAACCTGAGGACAAAGTGATACAGCTGGCCTTGGAAATACTTTAACAACCTTTTGTTGCCTGGCTGTAGTAATCAATAAAATTAACTTAGGTTATGGTAAAATTAAGATGCAAAATCATTTGAAATATAAAGTAACATTAGCTAATATATGTTTATGATTTGAAGAAAAGTTACCATTGCATCTCCTTGTTTGGGAAAACATTGTTCTGCTTAACCATCACTTCTACTACTACTCTGCAAATACACCATTATACTATCTATTTAAAATCACAAATCATCTTCACATTGAGCACTGCCAAAGCAAATTTAATGTTTTCATAAGGCCTTGGACCAAAGTTGGAGAAAAATCTTTGTATCTTTGATGAAGCAATGAGCAGACATGATTTACAGGAAAATAAATAAATAAAACTCAAATTGAAATGTGTGATGAAGCATCTGAAAAGGGTAGTTACCTGACATGGCTGTAAGGAAAGGAAGCTCACATGGTTGTATGTCTGAAAAGGGTAGTTACCTGACATGGCTGTGAGGAAAATAAATAAATAAAACTACAGCCTGTATGTCTGAACTTTTTAACTTGGCATCACAGATTGCAGCTACTTCTTCACTCACATGGCTGTGAGGAAAGGAAGCTCCTATGCTATCATATGAGGCAAGAATAGAACTTAAGCTACTGTGTATATCATCTTCAAAAGCTCTCCGTTGATTCAAATCAGAAGATATAATTTCATTCATTCTAACATGAAACTCAGCAACTTGTTTTGTTTGCTCGGCACGACTATTTCTTAAATATTTAACCTCATCTGAAACCTGAAAATCACATAACCATCTGAAACCTGAAAATCAGAAGATATATATCAAGTTATGGATTGTTCCGAATTATTTAACCTGAAACCTCATCTGAAACCTTAAATATTTAACCTCATCTGAAACCTGAAAATCAGAAGATATATATCAAGTTATGGATTGTTCCGAATTATTTAACCTGAAACCTCATCTGAAACCTTAAATATTTAACCTCATCTGAAACCTGAAAATCAGAAGATATATATCAAGTTATGGATTGTTCCGAATTCCTTTGAGACACTGCTTGTATCTAATGATTCATCTCTTCCAACAATACTGGTTTCCAGCATCAACTTACCACAGTCAACTGCTTCACGGAACAAATGAGGAATAACATGAATCCGAGCACCATCATCCAACATCCCAAACTGGGATCTAACAGCAAGCAATGCCCTATGTTAAAGAAAAGCTTATAATCTCACATTCACCAACACTTAGGAAAGAAACTTCAAAAGAAAAAGAAAAGCAATACCAGATAAAAACTTGTAGTCGACTTTTGCTTTGTTCATCATCAGCAGAGAGGATACAGGGCAGCATGGGAATGAATTGTTGGTACCAATATGACTTGTCACCCTATATAAATTTAGAAAATATTGAACCAAGAAATCAACTCATTTAACAAATGAAAAAATAAAAAAATAAAAAAAATATAATTTTCACCACGATGGTGAACTACAGGATGGTCTGAGCCATAGAAAGTTAAAAACATGATGTAAATGAACTGAAGCTAACACGGTCGAGCCAGAAATGCAGAAACCTTAACAGAAAAGAAGATAGAAAGAGACCTGTAGAGCTTTACAGATCTTTTCGAGTTCATCCCGGAGGTTGACTTTCTGGGAAGTCGTCACCACCTCAACAACACCCAAGCATGTTTCACCATCTATTTCAAACACAGGGAGGTTGAGACACCTACAAAAGTTGAGTTTTTTTAGCGTAAATCACACGTACGTCATCCCCTTCTGCAATAATTCGAAGATCTGGTGTGCATGTGGGAAATTTCTTCATGAAAACGCGACTAGGGAAACCGATAATCTCATTAGAATCATACTTAACTTCAATATTAATCTAACCTAGGGCTTGTAAACTTGAGCAATCGTTGTAGTCTCTGGTGAGGTGAGGTGAGCCCGAGGTCGTCGGCGGAAAGAGATGAGCCGAGGCCAGAGGTGAGTTGAGGTAGATTCGGTAGTAGTGGAGGTAGATTAGGGTTTACAGAGGAAAGGGGAAGGAGAGAGTGAAGGTTGTCGGCTGGTGGCGTGCTTGTGTTGATCGACGATGACGACCGGGAATGGCAAGTAATGTTGGTCGAAGTGCGAAGGAAGAAGTAGGCGGCTATGTCGGAAGGGGAAGGAAGGGGCGTCGATAATTAGGGCAAGAGGGAAAGGAATAAAAAGGAAGGCGGGGGATTTAACTTTTTTAGGATTTCATTCCGGCTAAAAGAGATGAGTCGAGATCGTTGGTAGATGAGGTGAGCCAAGGTAGCGAGCTTTGTAGAGAGCCTTCCCATCTTGAAAAGAACCCTAGAATGATCCCTTCGATTTCAGGGGCAATCTTGTGAGGATTTCAAGAAGGAGAGACTCAGTGAGGTTTTGAATATCGTATGAGAACGTATGAGCAAGGAGAAGATGAAGGCCCTAGGGATTTTTCTTGAGGCGGGGGGATTAATTTTTGGAATCCAATAGGCGGGAGTAATTTTAGTCGATTTCATTTCCCGCCTAAAACGCGTGTCTCACTTAAAAATTATAAAGCGACACATTTACACGACGCCCATTTTATGAAAGGCGCCCTCCGCATTTATTTTTTTTTTCTTTTCTGACACTAATTTTAGGGCGCGCACAAATGCGTGTCCTTTATCCTTCAAATTTTGCAAAACTGACATTATCTTTTAGGGCACGTACAAATGCGCATCCTCTATCAGCGAGTGTCATTGTTTGCGCGTCATTAAAGGCTGTTTTTCTAGTAGTGATATGAACATCCCTATGTGCATATGCAAACCCTAATGCTTGGATCTAGGTTTCTCTAATTAAACTTGCTTTGAATCCAAGACTTCTAATGACTAATTAGATATAAGAACAATACAAAATCAGATCTAGAAGTTTACCTTTGAATCTTTTGTTCGATCTTGTTGTCTTGGAGCTCTAGAGTCACAATTGTCACTCCTCTAATGGCTTACAAACACCAACTGGCAAGGAGGATGATTTGAGAGAGAGGAGAGGGACTAGAAATCGGCCAGGGTTTCTTTACTTTAGTAGAGGTGTCGATTTCCCTTGCCCTAGGGGTCTATTTATACTTGTAAGGCTCCTAAGGTTTCACCCTTAAACCCTAGTTGGCTAATCTTTCCTTAAAGCAATCCTAATACTTACCGATGAGACTTGGACGAATTTGAGGCTATCCCAAGCCCTAGAATTCGTCCAACCTTTATCCCTTAAGGATTTACAGCCCAAAGTGTAACTATCAAACAATTGACAGTTTATACCCTCTTATTTAATTAATCTCTTTAAGTCACCAAATTAATACTAATTAATCTATGACTTATATTAATCAAATAACAATATTATTATTCATTATATTATTCTCATATATATATATATATATATATATATATATATATATATATATTAATAATATCTATTCTCTCATAATAAATCATCCTGTCATGATGCTATGGTGGAAGGCAACCCAAAAGGACCATGCACAATCGGGTCAAATACTTGCCTAATATAGTTGCAGCCTTAGACACTATTCCAATAGTCTCCCACTTGGATAAGTCTAGTAACTATATGCACAAGTACAATTCGATTTGCAATCGTATCTCTCAAAGACGCTGTCAAACTCTGATCTAATCAATCTTGTCCTTTAGATAAGGGATCGTACAGTCCTCTGTTAGATATCATGCTGTCAGTTCTATGGAATGATTTGTCTAGCATTTTGGTTTCTCGATCTCCGATTTATTCGACATAGAACTTAATCGAACACATCAATTCAGTTCTGACCGGGCCTGGCACATAAGTCAAATCAAATCATCGAGCGGCCGAGATATCGCTTTTACCCTCTTGGGATAAAAGTCACAGATAAACTTCGACTTATATGCATTTAGTTATTCATTAATCAACTATACACAACAATGCGTTTTATAACACCGAGTTACTGATGTGTTTTCGCATTATCAATGTACAACCAATTAACAAATAACAAACCATATATCTAGGTTATAAGACTATATGATATTATCGTCTTGCGATCACCCTTTTATATCATATTCCATAAGGTGATTCCAGCAAGCGTGGGTTTGCTCCAATGCTCAAAACTAGTTCATAAGCACTCATGAACGTCGCAGCAATCTTTTGCTATGTCTAATACCATTAAGAAAATCTACACACCAATTCATGACAATCTTCATTCATATCTACTTCCAACATATGAACAACTGTGGACAATTTGAATAATTCGATTATTCTTAATAAACTCAATTATTCTGGAAGTCAAAACATGCAAAGAGAAACAATAGTTAAACAATTAACATAAGACAGTAACATTACTCATAAATAATACTCTTTTATTTAATCATCAAATGTTAATTACATTTATCTATTACACATTTCTAATACTATCTAATCTATGCTAATATCATCCTTCAGCCCAATACACCTAGCATGCTGCAAGTGCTTAACCCTACTCAGCCCCTTCGTAAGCGGATCTGCTGGGTTTTCTTCTAATGATATCCTCTTCACTACGAGTTGTCCTTCTTCTACACGATGTCTAATAAAGTGATATTTTTTGTCGATGTGTCGTGATCTACCATGATCTCTTGGTTCCTTGGTCAAGGCAACCGCTCCTTCATTATCACAAAAAATCTCCATGGGCTCCTTTATGGCAGGTACAACTCCAAGGTCGCCAATGAAGTTCTTCAGCCATATTACCTCCTTCGACGCTTCGCTCGCTGCAATGTACTTTGATTCACACGTTGAATCAACTACGGTTTCCTGCTTGGAACTTTTCCAAGTTACTGCTCCTCCATTCAGGGTAAAGACCTAGCCCGACTATGAACGGTAGTTGTCCCTGTCGGTCTGAAAGCTGGCGTCACTATACCCTCTCACCTTCTAGTCATCACTCCCTCCGAGGACTAAGAACCATTCCTTCGTCCTCCGAAGGTACTTAAGGATATTCTTCACCGCAATCCAATGAGCTCTGCCAGGGTTCCCTTGATATCTACTAACCATGCTCAAAGAAAAGGCTACATCAGGGCGAGTACAAGTCATAGCATACATGATTGAGCCCACTGTGGAAGCGTATGGTACTCGGCTCATTTCTGCTATTTCAGCTTCGGTACTCGGACTTTGAGTCTTACTCAACTTGGCATTACTTTGTATCGGTAAATCTCCCTTCTTCGAGTTTTCCATACTAAAATGTTTTAGTACCTTCTCTAAGTAAGTGTTCTGACTAAGTCCTATTAGTTTCTTACTTCTCTCTCTTACTATCCTTATTCCCAAAATATAGGAAGCCTCTCCGAGGTCCTTCATAGCGAAGCACTTCCCGAGCCAGGACTTAACCTCCTGCAGAGTCGGGACGTCGTTTCCTATGAGTAATATGTCATCGACATATAGAACCAGAAAGCTAACTATACTCCCACTGGCTTTGACATATACACATGATTCATCTTCACTTCGTACAAATCCAAACTCTTTGACTTTCTCATCGAAGCAAAGATTCCATCTGCGAGATGCTTGCTTAAGTCCATAAATGGATTTCTCAAGCTTACACACTCTATTCAGATGCTTCGGATCCACAAACCCCTCTGGCTGAGCCATGTAAACATCCTCAGCCAACTTCCCGTTAAGGAAAGCAGTCTTGACATCCATTTGCCAAATCTCATAATCATGAAATGCGGCAATTGCTAGCATCACTCTAATAGATTTTATCTTCGCAACTGGTGAGAAGGTCTCATCATAGTCAACTACGGGAGTTTGAGTAAAGCCCTTCGCGACCAATCGCACTTTATATGTGTGTACGTTTCCATCTACATCGGTCTTCTTCTTGAAGATCCATTTGCACCCAACGGTCTTACGTCCGGGCACATTATAAACCAAATTCCAAATGTGGTTATTATACATGGATTGGATCTCGCTATCCATTGCCTCTTTCCATTTCGCAGACTCCGGGCCTGCCATGGCTTCCTTATAGCTATTAGGTTCATCAAGGTTTATTAGTGTACCATCACTAATATACATGTCCCCGTCGGAAGTAATATGAAAACCATAAAACTGGGGTTGAACTCTAACTCTTTCGGAACGTCTAAGAGGTAAGGACTCGTTAATCGGTTCAACCGGATTTTCCTCCTCGGATTGAGTGCCAGCGGTAGAGGTTCCTTCATCTATCGACTCTTGAATCTCTTGAAGCTCGATTTGCCTCCCACTATCTCCTTGGCTTATGAGTTCTCGCTCTCGGAAAACTCCTCTCCTCGCAACGAAGACAACATTGTCCTTCGGTCTATAAAAGAGATATCCAAAGGATTTCTACGGGTAGCCGATGAAAATACATCGCTCACTACGAGGTTCGAACTTGTCGTGAGTATCTCGTCTTACGAAAGCCTCGCAACCCCAAACCTTGATATGTGCCAACGAGGGAGCTTTCCATGTCCACATCTCGTGAGGTGTTTTGGCAACCTTCTTAGTAGGGATTCAGTTAAGGATATGGGCGGCAGTCTCTAAGGCATACCCCCAAAAGGAGATTGACAGTGAAGCACGACTCATCATAGAGCGAACCATATCTAATAAGATTCGATTACGCCTTTCTGCCACACCATTCAACTGCGGTGTCCTAGGAGGCGTCAATTGTGAAACTATTCCACACTCCTTGAGATAATCGTGGAATTCAAGACTTAGATACTCTCCTCCTCGATCGGATCGAAGCATCTTGATTTTCCTGCCCAATGATTCTCCACTTCATTCTTGAACTCTTTGAACTTTTCAAAAGTTTCTGACTTTTGCTTGATTAAATAGATATACCCATATCTACTATAGTCATCAGTAAAAGTCACGTAGAAGCGGTTCCCATCCTTCGTGGTTGATCTAAACGGTCCACATACATCGGTATGTATTAGGTCCAATAGACCCTCACCCCTTTCGCAAGAACCAGCGAAGGGTGACTTAGTCATCTTTCCAAGTAAACAAGACTCGCATGTGTCATCTTCCCTAAGGTCGAATGACTCCAACACTCCATCCTTTTGGAGTTGAGCTATGCGTTTCTTGTTGACATGTCCAAGGCGACAATGCCACAAGGATGCTTTATCCATACTATTGGAAGAATCTATGTTCAAAACATCATTTCCTAAGTTATGAACAATCATAACAGTTTCATAAATTCCATTACATGGTATAGCTTCAAAATAAAAGACACCAATTAGATAAGCCAAAATAGAACCATTCTCATTATTAAAAGAAAATCTAAAACCTTGTCTAAACAAACCATGAAATGAAATGATGTTTCTAGCCATTTCTGGCGAATAGC